TGGGTAAAATTTATTTATTTTTTTAAATTTTGATAAAGTGTCACACTGTTATACAGTAATATTTTACCGACAATGGAACTTACCGGTTTTCTGTTTGTATACTGATCATGTAATAGGAAGAGTAAATAAAGGGTTGGTTAAGAAAAAGTTGTTGCTAAGACGCCATGCAAACATTCAAAAAAAGCCTTATTAACAAAGTAGTAGAACTTGGAATTATACCCAAAGTAGAAGGAGGGGCTGGAGAAGTTCCTTCTGTGTAAATAAATCTGGGTTTTTTATTCGGATCCCTAAAGCTTTCGGCAATGCAAAGTATACGGAAGCTTACTGTTTTCGGGAGGCTTCTTTTATAATAATAATAATATAATAATAATTTGCTTTATTCCAGAAACAGTACTAGTGGTGCAGTGTGGAATTTTCACCACATATCTACAATATTTGCATCTTATTTTATCAGACATTTAAAAGGAGTATTTCAAAAAAATAAATATAAAGACACCAACAGCAAAAAAAAAAACAGGAAAAACACAAAATAATTTTTTAAAAATACGAAAAAATACCAAGAAGTAGAAAGGAAATGAAACATCATATAATAATAACTCAATATTGGGTAGTGGAAGGAATGATATGATTATGCATGGTGACAGTAAAGCTATAGTCATAAAAGAAGTTATGAAATGATATTTAAGAATGTTTATCGCCAAGATGATCAGTTAATTTGGTTGAAACAACTCTAAACAATCATAAAATAACATTTCAGGGTTGTTGTTTTTTTATCAGGTCTAATGCGGTGTTTGTAGTAGTAGTAGTAGTGTGAGTAATCCTACATAGTACAAAATTTTTAAGGTGGTGACAATGGCGTCCACAAACAATGATTGTCAGTTTAGCATTGCCGAAAAAATGCCTTTTTTGATGACTTTGAATGAATTCTGCTTACATAGTGAGTGGCGACCGATGCTGAGTAGCGGAAATCCTAAAGAGAAGAATATCTAACACCCTGAAATGGACATTCTCTGCTGCTAGGTTGCAATTAGTATTCTCATGCCGACTATTGTTCTTCAACAACTCCAAAGATAAAATATCGCATTTGACCACTTCTATGTGTATCTACCAATTTACTTGCTCATGTGGAGCGAGATATATGGATCGGTCGATGCGTGTTTTATCTAAGAGAGTCAAAGAACATTATCCCGCATGGTTACGAAAAGGTAACAGTGGATAAATAAGGAGTGCTGTAATTGAACATATACTCAACACCGGTCGCTCATTATGTAAGGAGAATTCATTTAAAGTCATCTACAAGGTCAAAAGAAGCCCCCCGAAAACGGTAAGCTTCCGTATACTTTGCATTGCCGAAAGCTTTAGGGATCCGAATAAAAAACCCAGATTTATTTACACAGAAGGAACTTCTCCAGCCCCTCCTTCTACTTTGGGTATAATTCCAAGTTCTACTACTTTGTTAATAAGGCTTTTTTTGAATGTTTGTATGGCGTCTTAGCAACATCTTTTTCTTAACCAACCCTTTATTTACTCTTCCTATTACATAATTTATTTTGGACACGTGTCCCCACGCATATTGACCAGTCTTAAAAATTTCGATTCTTTTCTGACGAAAATGGAATCTCAACTCTGCAAATGAGTTGTATTATTTGTTGTTCTGTTTGGCGAACTGCTTCGATCGTCAAAAAGCTTTTCACTCGCATGATAAATTATATCCGATTGAGTTTTTACAGAGTGATGAATGAAATCTATTTTAATTGGTGAATGGTGACTAGCAGTGGAATCCAGGATGCACATTTCGTCCTATTTGAGACTCTTCATTTGGATATACCTGCATTCCCCGGTGAATGATGGTGTTCCCACCGAGGCTCAAACTCAGTGCCCATAGTTTCAAACGCCAAAGCGTTATCCACTATACCACTTGGGCCATGACAGCCACCGCTTGTGCAACGGGTCTTAGTAATTATTTAATTCAATTTAGATATTTACGTCAGTTGATTGGACCGAAGTGCTCGGTTTGAGGTGGACATGTCGGCTCCTTATGTAGATGCTTAGACGATGTTTGGTCAGCCGACGGGAAAATCTAAATTGAATGAAATCTATTTCACTTATTAAACCTGTTTTCATTGGCGATTGTCTAGCAGTCACTATAATGTGCACATTTCTAAACCATCAGAACCAGAATCTATGAAATAATTAGTCCATAATAATAATAATAATAATAATAATAATAATAATAATAATAATAGGAATAAGAGATTCAGATAAAAACACTGTGTAAAGGAACTAACTAGGTGTATTCGTAGCTCTGTTTTAACTCACATTGTAGATACTGAGCATAAAGTTTATGCCAACAAGTCATTTGAAGTTATCTATCATATTCTAAGTAATATTGATTTGCTATTACGAGTTCCTCATCTACATATCACTGAAATCATTAGAATCCAGCTGAAGAGACCAGAAGAAATACATACAGGCACTTTCTTTACCTTGGCCATCACTACGTGATTGCAAAAGTCTGACAATCTTCACTTTAAGTATTGGCTTTTGTAGGGATTTTGTTTGAGTGGTTAGAGGATTTCATCATGAGCTGACATCAGTTAGAGAACCATTGGAAAACATGCAGGGAGTACTGGACATCTGTTTCGTCCTACCTCTTTGGGACTCTTTAGCAGTAGGCACCTACCGCCAGGGTTCGAATCCAGGACATTCTGGTTACAAGGCTAGCGAGCACGTAGACCACCAAGCCACTGGGACCCGATCCAATGGTCCATTAATTCTAACTTTTGCTAATTCATGACATAGCGCGACCACTTCGCGATGTCTTCTTCGATGAGTTACTGCCTCTCCTTCACCAGAAGGTCCTGGGTTCCAGCCTCGCCGTGGGTGCGAACTGATGAGGAGTCCCGAACTAGGAAGAAACAGCTGTCCAGTACTCCCACATTTTTCAATGGTTCTCTAACTTATGTCGGCTCATGATGAACTCCTCCAACAAATCTTCCCTTTACTCTAAGCAGTTATTATTTTAACTGTTTGATTATTCTACCCTTTAACTGTTGAGTTAATTTTTTTTATGCATATTATCATTAACACATGCATTTGAACTGTAATCTATTCATCTTAACAACTTGATATTATTCACAAAACATTAATGTTCTCAATAACAATTACTCTTTAAATAATATGTATATATAACTGTAGAGCCAGGTGAGGAAGCTGTCAAAAAGAATATTCTTTACTCAGTCTCTTTTCGTTTTCCAAAGCTTGTTTCGATTCTCTACACAGGCTGGTTTATGGCTCAGTTTGTTTATAAGCGTACTGGTAATATGCTTTATATTTTGTGAATATATATACATATATATATATATATATATTTGAAGATAGTCAGTCTTTAGCTTGACACAATGGAAATCAACACACAAAGAAAAGCGACCGCCCAACAAGTATCACAAACATAGGCAATAGTACTGTTTATTTGCAAACCAACACGTCAGATGCTTCATTTAGTACAGTCATAATTAAAGCGTAAAGTTTGAACTAAAAATTAACAGTTGACAGAGCAACAATCTAACTATTGCCAGCTACCAACTTTAATAAGAGACAACAAAACACACACCATCATACGACTACATACTGTGTATTTATTTACTCCGCCCAGCTTGAATGAGAATAGATGAATCATACCTACTGCAAAAACGGTAAAAGCAAATGAATAACAGTGTGCAGACTAGTTAATGTAGTTTACTCAAACTTTTTTGTTTTACCATACACTTTAACTGAATAAACAAACCAGTCAGTTTACTCAAATACAATGTAATCATGCATAGCAATATTTTGTACTTATTGCATGGAGGATTTCATCATGAGCTGACATCAGTTAGACCCATTAAAAAACCTGGGAGTACTGGACAGCTGTTTCGCCCCAGCTATTTGGGACTCTTCATCAGTACGCACCTACCGTAAGGGTTCGAACCCAGGACCTTCTGGTTACAAGGCGAGCTCGCAGACCACCAAGCCACTGGGACCGATCCAATGCAATCAAACAATCCTACAAAGCAATACTTGAAAATTTTGTACTTAAATAATTAACATATTCGATAAGATCGACCACCAGACCTTAATGGACTGAAAATATTTCACGATTACCTCATTAAGCCAGTTTGTGTAAGAAGTAGTCATCTCTAAGACAGCTAAACACGTCGCCCAGGTTCGATTCCCAGCCTAGTTTACTAGTCCATAATAAGCCTAGAAAGGAGGTGAGGTTAGGCGTGTGCGGCTGGCAACCTCACCTCGTATAAACAATACTGTCATTGGACCTTCAAAGCTTATAGCTAAATGCTCCACTTGGAAAGTAAAGAAATGTAAAAAAGACCGAGCCGAATGCGACAAATCATTCTGCACTGGTTAATTTTAAGGCAACTAGGATGACGGCGATAAAACCTCTAAGTAGATAGCATTTCATAGACATTTGGTTCCCTTGATAAATTTCGATAGAGAAAGAAAGACCAGATTTGCAGCATAATTTATAATATTCTATTTCACAGGTTCTCATCAGCTAACTGCAAACTACCTGAAATTACGATGGTTATAAATAATGACATTTCATACTTCAATGTTTGAAAGGTAATAGAGGAAACATTACAAGATGAACGCATCCGGAATATAAGCACGACAATTTTTAGTTTAAGTCACCATCAATTTATATGCTTACAACCTGTAAATCTGATCTTGTTTTTCTCTGTCAAGATCGTATTTCCTTCTAATTCTTCAAATGATATCGTTTAAGTGATGAGATCTCAGTAGCACCTCACAGAAATGAACTAATCTCGAAAAAGGGGCATAAAATTCAACGAATAAGACGGTTATTCTTCAAAATGACACGCCAAATAAAAAGCTACCAACAAATCGCAAGTAAATCTTTAAGAATACAACCAAGCATAAGACAATTATTGGGATAAACTCTACATGTAAGGATTAATTAATTATCACTGAACTAAACTTACTTTCAGCTAAGAGATGATATATTACAGAGTTATATCGTTTTTTGCCCAATCTATGATTAAAGTAACCACACTGATAGAATCCCTGATCTTGGAATTGAAAATCCCGTATCATTAATGTATAATGCCCAGTAGATGGAGATTGTACAAATCGATATTTATCCGCTAATGAAATAGAAAGGAGATGGAACAAGAAAAGCCGAACAATGAGGAATAAAAAGTATTTACACAGGAGAAAATAGTTGAAAAGAAAAATAAGACACAGCGGCGGAAAATCTCGTCCCTACGCAAAATACGTCTATCGTAGTGGAATATAATAGAATAGAATATTATTTAGTGTTGAGTGGATTTTCTATCAGCCAAATGTATAAATGACACAATACCATAACGAACAAAATCTTCGGACTTATGATCGACTGATTTAGGCAGTTGACTTTCACAATCTCAAAATACTCAGTAGCAGTTTTATTTGAGTATTGAACACCTGTATTTGGTTGTTAAATCGTCTTGTAAATAGAACATGATGTGCTCCACACCACACAGGGTTGTTGCGTTACATCATGTATTTTAATTATTATTATTATATTCTTGTTGTTTCCTTTAATTCCTAGAGGAATATAAGGCTTCAGCCGCCCATGTCCATTGCATTCGGTTCTCCGAGGACGTTTTCACCTGGCTCCACGTCTGCCAACACACGCTCATCTCTTCTTCTCATGACCACCTCCATGTCACCTTCGCGCTGACAACCAACTCGCCACTCCTCATTTGGGTTCCACTCGAGCGATGACCTGGTGTGTGATGTCACTTGGTGGTTTATTTTCTCAGAGTATGGTCAATCCACCTCCATTTCTTCCTGCATATTTCTTGCACATTTGGTTCCTGCTGGGCTGATTCGCTCATCGGCAGAGATCCCTGTTGGTAATCTTTTCTGGCCACCTGATGTTAAGTACTGAGCGAACACAGCTGTTGATGAAAGTCTTTAGTCTCTGATCCGTATAGTAGCACTGACTTCACATCGTTGAAAATCCGGATCTTATTTTTAATGCTGAGCAGTGCTGTCGACCTCCACACAGACGTGAGAGAAATGAAAGCTTGCCTTGCTTTCCCGATGATCCTCGCTTTGATATCCTCGTCAGTTCCGCCTATAGTTGAAACGATGCTTCCCAGGTAGGTAGAAAAGGTTGCTTCTTTTTAGATTTCACCCATGTATTTTAAACTGCGCATTTATAAATAAAAGGCACATAAAACCAGTTGAGATTTCATCAATGAAAAACACGAACACCATAAAACAAGTTGCCAATCAAATAGTATAAACTTACCGAAAAAGAGATGCGTAATATCAGTATTATTTAACGTAAAAAACACTTGATCTGATGAATGTACTTTCTCTAAACTGCAAGGGATCACTGCAATATTTCCCAAGTTGTATTTTATAACTGAGGGGATTGAGACTTTCTGAGCTACTGGACCTTGAAAATTATTTCAAAAGAGGAAGAAATAATGTTAGAATGATAGATTAACAGGAAATAATTAACATTAAAGATAAATCTTATGCATAGAGAATGAATAATTCTCATTTTTTTAAAGTCTTTTACAACGAATTATTTCTAACTTAATAGTTTCTTTGCTCATAAAATGTTACAAAGCGTATGGTCAGTTGTAAAAAGTATTCCAAGCCGCTCAGCGCATTACTAGTATCCATATCAGATAGAAAATAATAACGGGATTATAATTAAATATTGCCGTAGTAAAACTATGCTGTCTTGGTAGAATAGAAAACAGATTAGTATAGGATATGTTTATTATCATAAGTGAATGAGGTCATATCCCAGTAAGATCAAGAAGACATGAAAAGATTAGTTGTCTTTGATCATACGCGTCTGCGCTCTATCTCCCGTGTGAAGTGGTATGATTAGGTGAGCAATATTGAGGTTAGGCGTCGAGTGACAGGTACGAAGGGGAAATCAATCGACGAGGCTGTGAAATTACATCGACTGAGATGGTTAGGATATGTGTTACGTATGCCTAGTCATCGCCTTCCTCGACAATGGGCAATGTTAACTGATATAGGGTCAGGCTGGAAAAGAGCTAGCGGCGGTCAAACCAAAACATGGCACCAGTCAATGAAATCTACAACAGTTAGTCTAGGCCACATAGGAAGGTGTAGACTTCCTGGTTGGGGTCCTCGGGACGGTAAAAACCAATGGTTGGAAACAATTGGTGACATGGCTCAAAATCGTTCTCAGTGGCTGGTGCAGATGCATCCACTCCTTGTGACTTATGATTTCCAGTGAAACTGTTTTGTTCTTCGTTATTACTATTCCTTTGTCTCACACCTCTGTTCACTGTCTCTAATATGCATTTCTCCTACTTTCTTCTCTTGCTTTGTGTGCTACATGGAGTGTGGCGACTTGAACTGCCGCACATATGTGCAAAGTTCTATGTCGAAAACCGACACAAGATCAGGAACAGATAGATAAGAGATACAAAGTGAAAATATTACTCGAGTGAATAAATGCCATTACAAACGACACACACATCTGTCGGCCATTTAAAGAATGGCGAATAGAATATTCGGAGCAAAAGCAAATTTGTAAATGGTGAAACATGACCAAAGATGGACATAATCAGGTTCTCGGCGAACATTACCATTGAAGTATTTGTTTGACTGGCCCGAAATGTTCGACCTCTGTTATCGGCTCCTGGTACGGACGCTTCAACGATGTCTGAGGATTAACATGATATAACTTGGTGGATGATGACTAAAACAGTGGCGTCATCAGCTAGTGGATAATGCTTTGGCGTTTGAAACGATAGGAGCCTGGATGCAGTCTCAATGAGGACATCAGCTGAGGAGTCTCAAATAGGACGAAGTGAACATCTTGCGTTCAACTGCTAATCACCACCCACCAAGTAACGGTTTATAAATAGTTGTAATTCTTGTCACATTTTTCATACAATATGTATATTGATTTAAAAGGCAGGCGCATTTCGTTAACTCATATTCACTTACGAGAGAAAAACAAAGCCTGAGAGATTTTTAACCAAAATATAATATAATAAGAGAGCCACAGGATGACAAAGACGATGATAGCTAAGAAAGGATTATTAGCAATACTTCTTAATGAGTATTAACAATATACTTATATTTCTTTGTCTAAACACTTTATTTTAGCTGACCACTTTGATTTACTTAAATGATTGAAACCAGCTCTTATTTTGCATACAATCAATTAGTACGAAGATGTAAACTATTAAGGGAAGTTGGGAAAAAAAGACACACTAACAATACTTCAGTAGTTATCCATGGCATCTGGAATAGCTTGATATTGGTTGACTAACATCTCATTTCTGTCACCCTGCCAATCTCCGCTTCACTGCTAATTCAGTATGATTAAAATAGGGTTGAGAAGATCTAGTCTGGGAGCCAGTGTGACGAAATTAAATGGATAGCTGGCTAAAAGTGAAAATAAAACCTGGAATTCTTTTTTAACTCAGTAGGGGTATCAAAAGCTGTAGAAGTAACACTGAGACAATTTGTTAAAATCTTGCCACATGGCAAGGCTCTACAATTTACACTATCATCCTAAAACACTTAACAATGTTGTTTGAGGTCAGTTCTCGGAATAGGCTTTTCATGTTTTTGGAGAGTTAGTGAGTGACATTACCCAGCTGCCTAGACTGAGATTGGTGGGGCGGGATTCGAACACAGGAACCACTGGCTGAAAGTCAAGTGTTTAAACCAAATGAATTTTGCAATATGAGTCGGACAGAGTTGAACTAAACACACACAAATAGAGCAACATTACATGAAATTATCTAATTTCAACTGTCAACACAATTCTTTTGTCTGACTACTAATTCAAACTGCAGAAAAAAAGAACAGAAAGTATCTCTAATGCGTATAAATTGTTTCATGAAGTAGTGAATCCCATTGATCACTTTTTTTGCATACAACACAATTACCATAATATAATTTATGATTAATGAGTTTAGCATTTCATCCAAGTACAGTAAAAAAGAATCAACCGGAACAGTAGTCAACCCAGCTACTACAGTAGTAGCACCACCACCTCCTCGTCCTCCTCGAATATGCAAAATATTTTTTCTTTGGCACACACAAACGCACACACAAGAAAACGTACATTATAATAATCGAAATGAAGTAGAACGTTATTACTTAGAAAAAAGGAATATACAGAGGACACCAGTGGATGACAATTTTACTATTGCATATTTAATTTAATTCTTGTTGTTTTTTGATTCTAGGACAGTAACATTGAAGAAGAAGAAAAAAAGGAAATCACACTAGTGTCGGTTGTTAAAAATTCGCCAATTAAGAATACAGAAATAAAGTAGAATGCAAATTATATAAAAGGAAGTATTTAAAAAAGAGAGAGAAAATGTATTCTATCCACTTGACAAATGGGTCCTCCAGTGAACAATTATTCATCAAATGAACTATACAGTTCAAAATTAATCATGATGAATACAAATATATTATGCAGGCTTGAAATAGGTGGAGGAATTTTAAATTCAATAGAGATAAAAGAATGAGAAACATGAATTATATTATAAATTATTATTATTCTTCCCTTGGATTCCTAGTGGAACAAAGGGCTTCAACTGCACGTCTCCGCTTGCTTCTGTCTTCTGCTGTACTTTTCACCTGCATCCATCTTAGTCCATACTGTTTCAACTCCTCTTCACACGATCTCCTCCATGTCACCCTTGCACCGACGTCCCACTCACCGCTTCCCTTTCGGGTTCCACTCGAGCTGTGGCCTGACTCACGATGTCACCCAGCGGCCTCCTCAGCGAGTGTCCAATCCATCTCCACTTTCTCCTGCATATTTGTTGAGCGATTGGTTCTTGTTTTATTTGTTTCCATAGTTTCTTGTTGGTGATTCTTTCCGGCCATCTGATCTTCAGTATAGAGCGAAGACAGTTGTTGAAAAAGGTCTGCAACAGGCTGTTGGAAATATTCTTTGTGACCCACCAAGTTTCTGATCCGTACGTATAGAAGAACTGACTTGACGTTTGTATTGGAAATCCGAATTTTGTTGTTGATGCAGGCTGAGTGACGAAGATTTCCAGATTGGTTTCAGGTTGATGAATGTGTTTCTCGCCTTCCCGATTCTGGATTTGACATCCTCGTCCGTTCCTCCTGTAGTTGAGACAATGCTCCCTAGATAAGTGAGCGAAGTAACCTCTTTCAAATCCCTCCCGTTGATGGTGATTGGCGCTGGATGCTGCTGCTGTTGTTGATGGTTGGTAATATTCATAACCTCCGTCTTGTCTATGTTCACCTGCAGTCCTCTCTTTGCTGCTACTGCAACCAGCTTGTCGGTTTTCGCTTGTAATTCTTCGATTTTTTGTCACATCAAACATAAGTCATCCGCGAAATACAGGTCTTCTAGGTTCTTCACGCCTGTGGTCCAGGATATCCCTGTCTTCTCGTTTACCACTGTCTGACGCATAATAACTTCGCCTAGATTACTGGCTCATTAGTTCTCTAGCCGGTCCCAAGCCCGGAGAAAGAGGGAGGGTTGGGGCGTGGTGCTAGCAACTCCACCCCCAAAACTTAACGAAATTGCTACAGGAACTTCAACACACAAATATATTAAAAATTCTAGAAACATGAATTAATCAAACATTTTTACAGATAGAATGAATTGGTTATTGGATCGGGTTCCAGTGGCTTAATGGTCTACGAGGTTGCCTTATAAACAGGAAGGTTCTGGGGGTTCGAATTCCGGCGGTGCATGCTGATTAAGAGTCACAAACTAGGACGAAACAGTACTCCCAGGTTTTCCAATGGTTTTCTAACCAATTTCAGCTGATGATGAAATCCTGTAACCAATTAAATCAACTGATGAAAAAGTTATTGAGAAGAACATTCTTTGTTTACTAATCAATCTTTTGAAAAAAACCTTATTTCCTAAAAACTTAGAAGCATAAAAAACACCAAAATTTAAACAAAACATGTGTCCATTATAAACTATTTAAATTAATCCCAGCGTGTTAAGAAAATCAAAACAAGATTTTTCTGAACGTTTCGCTGTGTAAGCCACAGCTTCTTCAGCAGATTCATTCGGATTATTATTAATCATCAAAATATATAGTCAAAAATTTTACATAAATTGAAGTCAGTTTATTTGAAGGTCATTTGTCCATGGACATTTTTACCAATAGAAATATGTAAGCAGTCATCACATATATTTGTAATGACTAATGTCAAGTTGTTGTTGTGTTCACTCTTCTATAGTTAATTTGTACAGATTAGTTTTGTATGAGTGTGTGTGTGTATGTATGTATGTTATTTGTCATATGGAAAATACGTGAATTCATATGTGATAAACATGATCCTACATATTTTAATCTGAATAAATCTGCTGAAGAAGCTGTGGCTTACACAGCGGAACGTTCAGAAAATTCTTGTTTTGATTTTCTTAACACGCTGGGATTA